CTCAACATTCTGTTGCACTTAAAATCTGTTAAATATCATCATATATAAAAAATGAAAAAAATGCAAGAATAATTTCAAATCTACGTACCTACTCTGCAACAGCCGCTAGGAAAAAGTAGTGAAACTAATATGACACTAACCATACTAACCATCTTGATAATAACGGGGTAGGAGGAGGGAGGGCAGTAATAAAGAGTTTTAGTTTTACAGAGCACTCATTTAGGAAGAGTACTTTAAGTCAACAGGACACTCCTAATCTCACACCAAACAAGAAAAGCAAGAACTCTAAAACAGCCTCATTAAGGTGTGCATCGCAATAGTTAGTCACTGAAGACTAACTTGGTCAAACATCTTAGCAGCATAAACGACACTGTAAACTAAAATGAGCAGTTTTTTTTTTTTTTCGTCCAGTTCGATTGGGGTTGAGTCCACTTGTCGTGCATCCTTCCTCTTCAAAATTTCACTTGGGTCGACCCTGATCATTTTTCTTTTCTAATTGGCATTGCCTGCTGTATGTTTATAGTGTGGGCTGAGGATTTGCTTTTTCATACTTCACAATGAAGAACGTTGATGCTTATTCGGACTGTGCATGAGCCCTCTTGACATGGCTGCATTGAATAATGACGCATTTAATGAATACAAGCATACCAGCCGCCTCTTCCTCGTTCCTGTGCAAGTAGGTAATACAGAACCCCAATGAGTGAAATGCTCACTGTCTTCATTAATACACACACTGATGTTACTAAAAATCTAGAGGTGATATGCCAAGCAGGCAGAGCTACAGGCAGCTCCTCACAACTTGAAAAAATCAAAACACACATTTGTTGCATGCAACAGACTTCAGTGCTACCAATTGATGTTTGCTAGGGTGACGGCGCAAGAGCAGTTGCACCACAATGCTGTGCAAAACTTGTTCAAGCTATAATAGCATGCAAAGTCAATTTTTGATATCAATGCATCATGAGCACGAGAAGATAACTTTTTGTGTCATGTTGACGCCTCCTGCGCGAGACGCAGTGGATCAATTTTCACGTTTGAGGAGTCATGTAAGGCTTTCCACTTTGCATTCTTTATTGTGAGTTAAGAAAAGCTAAACAAATCCTTGGCCCACACCATAAACATATAGCAGGCAATGCCCATTAGAAAAAGAAAAATGAACAGACTTGAGCCAAGTGAAATTTTGGAGGGGAAGGATGTGCAGGAGAAGCCCACGCCACCCCCCAGTCAAACAAAGAAAAAAAGCTATTGGTTTGGTGTACAATGTTGATCTTGCTGCTAATGTGTTTGACCGGGTTATTTTTCAGTGACCAATTTTTGCAATGCACGGCTTAGTGAAACTTTCTTGGACATCTTGCTTTTCGTGTTTGTTAATAGAGTAAGAGTTGGTGTTGATTTGAACTTCTCTTTCAAAATGAGTGCTCTACAAAACTAAAAGAGTTGATTACTGCCCCCACTTCACCCACCACGTTAGTATCAAGTTGGTTTTCAGATGCAGAGTAGCTATGTAGAATTGGAATTATTCTTGGCTTTTTGTTTTATTTAGTGACATAAGATAATATTTAGTGGATTTAAAATGTGCCAGAATGTTGAGTTGCTTTACAATATGTGTTGACTTTTTCCTATAATACGTGCAACACAATTTTATATATATATATATATATATATATATATATATATATATATATATATATATATATATATATCTTTGTATATAGTAACACTCAATGTATATGTAGCCTAGAAGGTTGTATATGCACTGTCAGAAGTTGCAACCACTGCAGTTACGCGATGCGCTAAAAACCACCAGCGCCATCGAAGAACTCTCGATTGTACACAATTGTTCACTAGATGCTTCTGGAAAAAAATGAGCATGCTTTTATAACGGTAGCATATGTGACAGTGGAATCAGCATGCCGTCGAATATCTAGCTTTCAGGCCCCTTTCAACTCTAAATTTCACTGTATTAGATCTGTCCCGAATTCACTTGAGGCTAACATCACTCTGAAGACCTTTGCAACCATGCAACCTTTACGGCTAGATTTAATAACGTTTCACAGCTCCGGCGCGTGCCGTACAATTACAGTGCCGCGGCCACTCCGATGCTGCGTCGTGGACGAGGGTGCCCCTAGCGGTTGCTCCTGTCTCTATATCAAACTTTTGCCGAAGCTTCATGACCAGTAAAAGTATTCAAGGAGTCTGATATTACTATATCTTGTAGAACACACCCACAAATCCAGTGATTGTGTACAAGTGTGGTATAAAGGTGCCCTGAGCTATTGCTGCTTCATAGGGAAAATGCGCCTCTAAGTTGATAAGGAACATCAAGAGTCATAAAATTGAGGTTTACTACCTAGTCTGTGCTTATATAGTTGGAAGTGTAAATGCACAACCAAATTCATGAATGCGGTAAGCAGCACACTTTGCTTGGCTGATTGGTCCATGTTCATGTGAAAGCATAAAAGTAGGGCTCTTATTGTGTGAACAAATATTGAGGAAATGGGTCGAAAGAAGCACAAATTTTTTACTGTTTATTCATCATATACTGCAATGAAGTATATACAATATGCACAGACATGTGCAGCAAGCTGGGCACACATCGAGCACATACTACACTTATGACAACCTGTGGTCTAAAAACTTGTTTTCCACCTGGGAAAGAAACAGTAAAGTATCACTGATACATAAGGAACCCATGCTTATCTATGCAATGCCTAAGAGATTTATAGAACCGTGATGTCCCTGCTTTTTATGAAAATGTGAACCTTATTCAGCCACAGCTGACACTGTAAATTACAGCGGGTCGCAAATATGGACGAGTTCTATATCCTTTATTGAAAGCCTTTGTTCCTGCGTGCCCTCATTCATGCATCTTCCCATCTGACTGACACGCATCTTGCCACAGGATACCAAAAATTCATTAGCACCGGTGCCAAATTTTGCACACCATTTGTTGTGCTTTTGTCACAACCATTTTAGTTGCTCCCATTAGATAGTATAGGTGGGCGTAGTTAAGACAGCTTCTCCAACCCAGAAAAGATAATTGGCATGCTATGTGTCTGCTTGAAACATTTTTGTAGGTTATGTGTAGCCCAGTGCACCTAAGGCACGAGCTGAGGCCTCATCTTTCTCCGCTCTAGTTCTACCCAAGTTCCGTGCCGTTCACTTTTGAACTTCTGGAAGAACGACTTGGCGACGACGATAAGGAGCACGTGAGGGGAGGCATTTGTTTACAAGCAATTCAATTAGTTTTGAAAAGCTTTCTCTATGCTGTTAAGAGCATTACTTTTCAAGTGCAGACTGGAGGTGATGTAAGCTGCATTCCTTTTTACAGTTGTTAAATGCGATGACTTGTATGGCAGCAATCTTTTTGTAGACCTAAATAATGCCAACAGGTGTTACGGCTCTGTAAGGCAATGTGTAAGCTTATAAATTTCAACAAGCCACAACCCGGTAACTCATGCATGAACACCAATCTCTTCCAGAGACTGCAAAAGGCCACTAAAGCATTGTTAACAGTGTGGTATGTAGCGGTGGTTTGTTCCTCTGCAATAAAAAAATGTCAGTATAGCTGAAAACATTCAAAATTTGCACCATTAAAATGGTGTTACAAGGCACAGTCAATAGAAATAAGAACAAGCTGCACAGCATATGAGCAACCCAAATAGCCTATGCAAATGCTTTGTCTTTGGACATGAGAATCTACATTAGAACTGATGGACTTTCTCTAAAAGCTTGAGAAGCTACAATCATGTCTGCGGCATTCCGGAAGGCAACACCACCAGTTTTATCTAGGCAACTTCTTGCACAGGAAAACAGTTCATTGTACGGAGCCGATTAAGATAGGTGCTCAACATCAACTGAGAACAAGTACCCTATCGAGAAATTCGTTTTAAGAAAGTGGGTGATATACGAGAAATTATCAGTCCAAAATTGGTTTTTCATGACAACAGCTGAGCTACTTCATGAAAAAGACTAATCGCAATCTAGCACATACCTTTTTCACTCATAAGCGACCTGAAAGGAACGACCTGCTTATGTGTCTTGGCTGTGAAAAACAGAAAAGGGGCGTTATTCTTGGTAGCTCCAATAGATTGTGGAAAGTTCTGCAGGTTCCATGTTTTACACAGATCCACCGCCTTGCTTTTCACTCTTGTTTCACTGGCTTTTATCTTGAGGTTCTTGTTGACTGCCCGTCGTGCCATGAAATTATATGAATCTGCATCTTTGCCACAAAGCCACTGCTTTGAAGCTTTAACGATTTTTTTCGTTTTGTACAATGACAAAACAGCTGCGATAGGATCTTTGTGACATAAAATGGAAGATTTTTCCTGGTTCGTGCAAATGTTTCTACACTTTCTTATAAGCAACGATGCCTTACTTCCACATCAGCTTTTCTGGCAACTCATCGGTACAATGCCAGTAATTCGTGAGCTGGCAAAGACCTTGGGGCTAAGGCTAAGTTTTGCACCTTTGATGAGTGCACAGTTTATAATTTCTGGAATGGGATCATTTTCTAGCACAACGAAGCCTTCTCGGGCGTTACGAGGAGGCTCTTGGGAATTAAACAAAAAGCTGAAAAATGTTCCTATTCCAGAAAATTTGTGCCATGTACTCAACAAAGATCCGAAGTTTAGTTACAGGTCATGTATGATAGCTCACAAATTACTTATAAACCAGTAAGTCCTTGAATAAGCCAATGTGACTGGTAGGGTCCGCTTCATACAAGAGGGCATAAAAGTTTCATAACCGGTAAACAAACGTCCTTTTTACGTCACAGATTTTATGGCAGCTGTTGTGTTGTCATATGCAATAATTTCTGGTGCTTCAAGTGGATAAAAGCGTTGGCTTTGTGGCAATAGACGCAGATACGTACAATTTCGAGGCAAAGCAGGAAGTCTACAAGAACTTCTTTGAGGTAAAACCAGTAAAAAAAAGAGCAATGTAATGTAGTGGCCCTGTCTAAAAATTTGAGCTTGTGAAACTTGCACACTTTATTGCAGATAGGATGAACAATGCTTTTCTGTGTGCATCATGGTCAAGATGCGCAAGCCAAATGTTCCTTCTACCAAATGTTCCACAAGCCAAATGTTCATTCCAGTGAATGAGGTACGTGGCAGAATAGGCTTAGTCAGTTTTTATTGAAACAGCTAAGCGTTGCCACAAAAGACCAGTTTATGACTGAAAATTCCCCCTCTGTCACCCACTTTATTGGACTTTTTGATAGGGTATATACTTGATCTGAGTTGACGTTGAGGACCTACTTTATTTTGACCTGCATAGTGAATTGTTTTTCTGTGTAAGAAGTGGCATAGACGAGAGTGGAGGTGTTGCCTTGCGAACTGCTGCTGCCATGATGTTGAAGCTTTTATGACCCTTCTCAAGTTCTTTGTGACAGACACCTCATCAATTTACTGGACATTTTTATGTCCTATGACAAAGCATTTGCATAGGCTATTCTGTCACTCCTGTTTTTTGCAATTTGTTCTCATGTTCTATTAACCATGCCTTGCTCCAACATTTTCAGATATGCTGATAATTGTTTTCATTATATAAAAGCAACTAACCACTGCTGCAAATCAGCCCATTACTAACAATCTCTCTGTGCATTTTTCTAACTCGGAAGTTAGCGCTGCTTGCACATGAGGTCACAGCTTGTAACTCTTTGGAAGTTGCTGGATTTTAACATTACTCTGTAGAGCTGCCACACCTGCTGGCTTTACTTACCTAGGTCAACGAAAGGATTACTGCCGTGTGACTTGTCCTAAAAGAACACTAAAGCCAACTAATAAGTCGATGTTGATTGTTCAAATGGCAGTCCAAAAACCTCCTAGTGTTACTTTTATGCCAAGGAAGCCCCCTGTTTTGAAATAAAATTATGTTTTAGTGCTCTGCGTTTGGTTAGCGCACTCCAAGTTACCCGCCTCAGGAAGGGCACCGACCGGACCATCTCAAGTCACTGTTGCCGGGCACGTTGCCAGTCTTTATTGTGCTAGTGGGAGCAGACCGAAAGCAGCGAGAGCCAGCAGCAACATCGGCCATTGATCAATTCCCCGCCATTGGCTTCTATATTGCAGATGCTTTGTTTCAACTGCGCCCTGCTAGAAGGCACCACCTGTCCCGTATAACCATGCGAAACTAGAATTTTTGAACCACTCGCGTCATTCTTCATAGTAACATCCGGCGGTTCTTTTTTCTATGGATCAAACGGAAACGAACAAGCAGCATTTTATTGCATCTCTTGATGCACGGAAGCTTCTTTATTTAGTGCAGTTGGATCCATTACTAGTGAATTATTGTAGGCGGTTCGTCTGATGTCATCGGGATCATTTTGAAAATGTCGTACTGTGGCGCTTGTGTTCTTGTGCATTTACCTTAATTTCTTGGTAAGTAGGGCACTGTTGTTGATAATATTGTCGTTTTAGGTGTTGTCATACACACTCTGACGTAAATTCTTATTTGACTTTATTGTCCCTTTAAGTCTGCACTTGCAAGGTCATGCACAAACGAGGTATGCAGAAGTCTTTTCAAAACTATTTGGATCGGTTGTGCATGGCTGGTTTCCCTTTCACATTCAGCAGGAGTTGTGAACTGTGAAGCCTGAGCTTGAGCCTTATTTGCACCGGGTTGTACACAAGCTATAAAAAAGTTGCAAACAGACATTGCTCTCGGATTGTTTTTTAGAAGCGTGGAGGGGGGGGGGGGGGTAGGGGAGCTGTTTAAACATTACCCACAATAGTATTACCTGAAGGCAGCAACAAAAGTGGTTACTGGAAGAAACGTGCCATATTGTGCACAAAATGTGCCACCGGTGTTGATGAACCTATGCTATTCTATGGCAAGGCGCATATCAGTCGGAAAGGATGGTACGTAAATGAGCATGCATAGGAACATGACGTTTGGCTAACGTGTGAAGATGGGGCATATTTGCGGGCTCACTGCAATTCATGTATTTTTGAGGTGCGCCTGAATAAAAGTAGATCTCCAATAGAAGCAATGACCCTACCACTCATGCATTTTTCACAGCATCCCATTATAAGCACTGTGTTGCTTATGCATCATTGTTACTTCATTGTCTCTCTTGCAGACAGAGAGCAAGTTCTTGATCATAGGTTATTAGGTTGGTATCTGCTCGACCTTGCTGCACATGTCTGCCTATATGTTGAATGAACAGTTCAAAGTTTGTGGTCCCCTTAACCACTTCTTTCATCATTGTTCATGTAAAAACAGCAATATTTTTGTTGTTTGTACACATTCATTTAATGCAGTTTTCTGAAAGTGTAGAAGTGTAAAAACATGTGGTGGTAGGGGCCTCGCATATTGAATAGTAATTGAGGGCATGTGTGAGCCAGCTGTCAGTTAACATGCCTAAAGAAAAAAAATCATGTTCTGAACTGTTTTTTTCCCGTTAAGCCCCTGGTGTGCGGGATAAATAAGTGTTACCTCGAAGGTATTTGTGTCCACTTTCTTTTCCACTACTGTACGTCCTTTCACTTATTGGCATTTGCGTTGATGCCACTTTCCTCTTCTGTCTTTATTTGCATGCCAGAGAAAAATACCAGTGCTCGTTGTACCCATACCAGTTCTGATGTCGCAAACCTGAATGAGCACTTATGCTTACTTTATAAGCAATTTAAAATATCTTGGCTAACTTCTGGTGCTGAAAATCGTTGAAAAGTGTTTCAGGGTTCAATTTTATGTCAGGGATTATTTAATTTTTGGTTAAACTGATTTTGACTGGTTTAATAAATGTTATTGCTCTATTTTCCAACAAAAGCAGTTGATTTGTTTTTATTCCATTTTGTTATAGCATGCCTGGGAATGTACTTCAAGCACGCCACATGGGGCCAGCTGTGCCACTTCAAGAAAACTGCTTCATTCCCATCTGCAAGCTCCAAAAGAAGTTGCTTTATTATGCAAGCCAGCAAGGCATATTTGTTAGGCCCCACAGCAAAAGGAACAAATAAACACGTTTTTTTTTTCGCAAGAAAGAGCATTGATTTTGTGCTGTAGCAACATGTGTCTGCATGCTATAGTCACATATAGACACAGACAAGAAAGCTTGTGAAGATCAGTGGTAGCAGGGAATCTGTAATGAGCTTGTGAAGTGCAATGTATTTTTAATTAATTCGTGAATCTGGCTTCCAACACTCATCATTATCTACCAGCCCAACCCTGGCATACACCCAGTGTCGTCCACCCGTCATCTGCTCACCACTCTCATCGTCCTCCGTCCACCCATCGTATGTCCATCATCCGTCCGCTGCCCCACCATCTGCCCACCACTCTCATCGTCCGCCATCTGTCCACCATTTGTCCACCATCCCTCTATCACTCCTACCATCTGCTCATCATTACCCATTACCATAATCCACCAAGATGGTGGGTTCCATTATGCCCACCATCTGTCCACCACTCCTACCGTCCACCATCAATCCCATTATGCCTACCATCTGTTCATCACTCCCACATTCCACCATCTGCCCACCATCCGTCTATCATTACCCATTATCATAATCCACCAAGATTGTGGGTTGTGGGTTCCCACCATTGGGCAAATTTTCAATAGGGCTGCTCAAGTTTCCATGCTTCATCACCATCGCGTTCAACTCCTATAAAAAGGCAAATATCAAGGGTCCCCAAATTTTTGCCAAATGATTTGTGGTATAGCTAACTATCGGGGGTACTCGATTCACTTACTTTATTGGTGATCTTTTGGCGAAAGAAACAAATGATTGCCACATTCATATTCAAAAGCAACTACTATCGACAAGCAGTTGAATGGAACAGGCGCGTCCTTCCAAATGTGGCTGTCGTGCATTGCGACTGGGCCTCTTGTATTGACATGTCGGTCGGTGATGCCTTAGCTGGGCGCGCCTTCTGGCCCCTCCGACCAGCTAGGTGGTGCCAAGGGTTCTAGTTGCATCTTGTCCATGGTGTGCTGCAGCAGGTTCTGGTTCATTGCGTTGCTAGCCTCTACCTGTTCCAGTCTGGCTTCCAGCTCCTGGACCTGACTTTTGCTCTGTGCTGCCTGATGACTCTGGTTTATCGCCATGTGCAGCAGCTTGTCGAGCAGGTACCGGCCCTGTGGTTCCACTATGCCTTCCAAAACAGCACGCAGTTCCAGGCAGTCTGTGTCGTCTTTGGTGTCCTCCACTTGGAGGATGAGAGCCTGGCATTCCCGAATGTTGTCGTTCAGGTAGTCTAGATTCGCCCTCACGCTATCTATCTCGTCGTCCAAGTCCCGGATGTCCTTCCCAGCTTGAAGCAGACTTTCTTCCTCCCGCATCAATCTTTCCAGGTAGCGCGTGAGTCTCTCCCGTTCCAACAATGATCGCTTCACTTTCTGCAAGGTGTAGACACTTTGCTTGGTCAAGACCAGTTTTTCGATGTTTTTTTCAAGATTTTGCCAGTTATGGTTGGCCACTTTTGGACAGAACTGGCCATTTGATACAGCTGGATTCTGTTGGGGAACAGGCCCAACAATGCGCTCGGACAAGGATGGTGCCTGTTTGCGCAGGGCGGCCATATCCTCAGGGAACCGCTTCAGGACCGTTTCCTTGTTGTGGTTCGGGACCCCAAGGGAACTGGTGCGGTTCCCCTGCTGACGGCTCTCCTTGAGCATCTGCGCTGTCTGCTGGTTTCCCTGTTTTTCAGCCTCACGATTTCGTCTGCTTTCCCTTTTCATCTTTCTCGCCAACGCTACCTTGTTTTTTTCCATTTTCGCCACTTCTTCTTTGAGCTTGCGGACCTGTAGCTCATACTCGCTCTGGTTTTTCATAAGCTTGGCATGCTCATGTTCGGCCGACTGCATCTTCTTGAGCTGGCCTTGAAGGTCGTTCAACTTACACTCAATGTCTGTCTTGATCTTTTGCTCTTTTTTGCCTGTATCCTTGGATGCACCAGCAGAGCTCATGTTTGAGATAGTTCGATCATTTTCCATCTCTGTCTCTCGTATCTTCTGCTGCAGCTGCATCAGTTTGCTTTCATACCACATGCGCATAGATTGTAGCCTGCGCTGACACTTCTCGAGTTCACCTATCATCTTCTGCTTCAAGGAGATTTCGATAGTGAGTGTGGCCAGGTCCTTGTCAATAGTTTTGTCTTCCTCCAGTTCCTCAGCTTCGGAGTCTGAGCTTTCGTTCTCACTGTTCAGAGTGGTGTCTTCGTCTACGTCTGATATTTTGTCACTGCGCTCATCCTCTTTGTTCCCTTTGGATGACAAGTGTTTAGTCTGACGCTTCAGGTTCTCAACGTCATGCTTTGCCTCGGCATGTATGTTTTCTACACTAGTGTCCTCGGCACTGCAGCTCATGTTGTACATTCCAGTCACTGTCACTGTCGAATTAGGACCCATGCAGGTGCGTGCCTGGTACCTCTGGAGCTGCCTTCGAAGCTGGACACCCACCTCCGCAGATTCTATGAGCTTGGTTCTTAACTCTTCAAACTCCTTCAGGTATCCCTGGATGAGGTTCTTGACTCCTTCGCCGGTGTCAGAGTCACCACCGCCAAACCACTCCTCAGTTGCTTGTTCAGCCAGGAGCTCCGTGTTCTTGACTGTGAGGATATCTACGGTTTCTTGGAGGACCTTCATACGAGTGCGCAAGAGTTTGTTCTCCGACTGGAGCGTGGCGTTCTTCCCGACAGAGGGTCTGCCCTGCTTGCACTCTTTCAGCTCCCTTTTCAGCTCCTGGATCTCCCTTCGGAGGGCTGCGATGGTATCATTCGATTTCTCTTCGTTCACCATGATCTGATTCTTGATGTTCTTCACCTGATTCACATATATCAGGCTGTTCAGCCTTTCCAGGAAGTCTAGATCACAAGGAAAAATGCAGGTGATCATTAGGGTACGGCTGTTGCCTCCTAAGTACTCCTGTAGTATCTTGGTGAACTTGGAGTCACTGTATGGGACGTGCAGCCCCTTTGACGCAACACCTAAGGCGGATATGAAGTTTGCGAGATCAAGGAGCCCACAGTTTATGAAGATGTTTTGCTTAGGCTGGTTCTGATAGGCACTGGCGCACTTAAGCTGTTCTGAGGCAGCCAGATCGACGAAATGGAATTTGGCGTTCAGTGTTTCAAGTACATTCATTGATGAACTTTCCTTGTTGACCTTAGAAAGGGGGTAGTCCTCTTCCTGCTCCTTTGAAAGACCATGTTTCAAGTATAGCTTGACCACCCGTTGCTGCTGCATGTTTAATGTAAAGACGGTATGGGAACTGGATGGCAGCACATTCATCTGGGTGCTGGCAGTCTTCCGCGAGAGAGTCCCTGAGTCAAAGAACTTCATCACCTGTTGTGCATTCTGTACAGTTTTTGCTGTAACCCCTATACTGTAGATCGCTTCCTTAGAGTCTTCGTGAACTTTCACAGATTTCCTTCCTGGTTCATGAGAGTGCTTGCCAGGGCTCAATAGGTCGAAGATCTCTTCATTACAAAGTTCCATAAACTGTACATTGATCTCGAACTCGGGGTGTGGTTTCCCTTGGTCTCGGGCCTTTTGCTGGCGAGCCGCTATGCCATCGAAGAGGTGACGCACAGATTGCGGTATAATTCCCTGCTCGTGAGAATGAACGCGCAGATCACAGCCCGTGCTCGTCATGTAAGTTTTCTCGTGTCCAGTTTGGCCATAAGTAAGCACGGCGGCATTGTATCCTTCAAAACATCTATCGATGAGATGGTGGACATAGTTGTAAAATGTCTCTTGCTCAGAGGGGCAGTCGAAAACATGGTCAAAAGTAAACGCCTCCACCTTGCCTGCCATGTCCAACAGGGAGACGCTGAGGAACCCGCGCGCAGCACTAGTTGGACACACCTCAAGGAGCCTTGATCCTTTTCAGTAAGCAGGGCTGCTGAAGACGTGGACGACGAATGAGCCGTACAGGAACAAGCTGCTGCTGATGACGATGAATCCTCAAGCATGGCTCATGTCCACTTTAGGGGATCGGCCATGAACTTATTATACAATTAAGTGAGCCTTTTTTGGTATTCAATATCTATATCGAAAAGAAAAACAACGTACGTAAAACAAAACGAGTGCAATAGTTTTTCACTCGTTCAGATCAGCCAGCGTAGTCGTTATCTTGCACAGGTAATAGCATGACTAAAAAAACTTTTTTTGAGTTCATATATTTCTGCATTATTAATACTCACGCAAGTATACTTAATTCGTTTAGTTTCATAAAGGTAAGTACAAACGGCATCAAAACAGTTCTTGTGGCTGGAGGCCACGTTCGAAGCACCAAGAGAAAGTATGTTCTAAATTGTCGTTCTTTTTTATTGCTTAGAGATTTTCTTCTTTCACCCTCTTCGCTTCTTCCTCTTCTTCTAAGTCAGGCACATACGCCGCGTAGCAGTATTCATATTTTGAAATCACAAAACACAATATGACTTTGAAGCTGTGCAGTTGCGCCACATGTAACGGCTTCCTTGCTGCTAAAGCTGCACCCCCCGTGGTGGTCTAGTGGCTAAAGCCCTCGGCTGCTGACCCGACGATAGTTATAGCGCGAGAACAAAGCGACGACAGAGAGACAAGAAGGACACGAAAGACACGAGTGCTAGCTCAAGCTGCCACACTTCTATGCTGACCCGAGTGTCGCGGAAGCAAATCCTGACGGCAGTGGCCACATCATCGATGGGTGCGGAAATGCTTGAGGCCCGTGTGCTTGGATTTAGGTGGACGTTATATATATATATATATATATATATATATATATATATATATATATATATATATATATATATATATATATATATATATATATATATATATATATATATATATATATATATATATATATATATATATATATATATATATATATATATATATATATATATATATATATATAGTGGGAGTAATAATAATAATTCAATGGGCCAGTTAGTCTTCGTGAAGGTATGGGATATGGTACAACGAGAGCGTTGTCAACAAGGATAAATATATTCATTTCCCAACAGTTTCGGGAAGGGTCCTCCCTTCATCAGGGGATGAGTTATACTGACATGAGCTTCCAAACTTCGTTGCTGCCGCGTCCCTCTCGCCTTGAAAGACGTTTGCGAGAGTGAGAGGGAACTAAAAAAAGGAAAAAAACAAAAAAGGGGGGGGAGAAAAAAGACGAAAAAAGAAAGAAAAGAAAGAAAGTAAAAAAGAGGAAGAACCACTGTCAACACTGAGAACGAAGCCAACTGTGCCGGGAGGATCCGTGACGGCGCGCGTAAAGAAAGGAGTTTCCCCGTAATGGGTCGTTCGGCGGGCGGTGGGCGGCGTGCGTAAAGGAAAGGTTTCTCGTTAATGGGTCGGTCGGCTATTTACCTTTAATCTTCGTCCGTTTCCCTTCAATGGTCGTGAAGTGGTAGGCGAACGTAAACACTTTTGTATGTGCATGTAAAAAAAAAAGGACAGTGTACACGTACGAGTCAGTCAGAAAAAAGCATGGTCTCCAGCTATCAATCTTTGTCACCAATTTTCTCCTGGCTTACTTCTCGGAGGCAGTTGAGTTTTCCGGGGTCCTCGTTGATGCCGGCTACTAATGTACGAAATTTGAAAATAAAATATGCCTCACGCTGTTCGCGCTCACGTCTGTTTGAGAAACCGGACTGCAAAAGAGTTACGCTGATATTTTCAAAACTGTGGTTTGGCAGGCGCAGATGTCTAGATAAAGGTAGCTTCGGCAGTGAAGTGGCGTGGTACCGGTGATTATTGAACCGCAGCCGAAATGGCGTGTCTGTTTGGCCGATATATTCTTGTCCGCAGATGTTGCAATGTAGCATGTATATTACGTTACTGGAGTCACAATTAAGGCTTTCAGTTATGCAGAATTTGAAATCCGAGAAGTTCGCTTTGGATTCACGTGTTGTGACCATCTGGTGGCATACCTTGCATCGAGCTTTTCCGCAGGGATGGCACCCTGATTGAATTTTTGGAGTGTTTGTTTTTGCCCTGACAAGAATGTCCTTCAGATTTTTATCCCGGCGGTACACCACGTGAGGTGGCTTCGCGAAAATAGAAGTTAGTCGTTTGCTTTGCTGATTATGTTGAAATGGCGGGAAAGTATGTTGTTGATTCGTGGCGCTGATGAGGAGTAAGTTAGTACAAGGTTCGCTTCGGAAGTCGTTTTAGATACTCTGTTTGGTCCCTTAATTATATCATTCCTGTTCACGTTGCGAGCACGTAGTATGGCATCGTCAATAATGTCTTCCGGATAACTTTGTTTCAATAAGGAATGCTTTAGGTGTTCCGCGTGTTTGTCAAATTCCCGCATATCGGTGCATATTCTTCGGTACCGGTAGGCCTGAGAATATGGAATACCCGTTTTGCAATACTTTGGGTGGCTGCTGTTGAAATGTAGGTACATTTGACGGTCTGTAGACTTTTTGTAAAGGTTTGTTGACAAGCGGTCATTTTCGACCGTGACAGTGACGTCCAAAAAGTTAATGCTAGTTTTGGAAATTTTGTGCGTGAATTTTATTGACGGGTGGCATTTGTTAAAATCCTCTATGAAGCGGAAAAGACTTCCCTCATCATGGTTCCATATCATAAAAATATCGTCTTAGTATCTTCTGTAGTAGAAAGGTTTCAAGGTGCGTCCCTCAATGAATGGGATTTCAAGTGAAGCCATAAAGGTGCTCGCGAAGTTTGGGGCCATTTTCGTGCCCATTGCAGTGCCACTGACCTGAAGGAAATGCTTGCCGTTGAACTCAAAATGGTTATAATTTAGTACAAGTTCAAGAAGTGTAAACAGTACCTCGCCACTTACACTAGTTGATGAGTCAGATTTTACATATTCAGAAACCATAGCCGCTATTCCATCATGGTGGGGTATGTTGGTGTACAGTGAGCAGACGTCCATGGTCACCAGAAAACTGCCGCCTGGGATGTCGAGACTTGAAGTTTCGCAGATGAAGTGGTTTGTGTCCTTTAAGTAATAGGGAAAATTTGGGAGGATGTTTTTTATTAAGGAATTGATGAATTCTGATATATTTTCTGTTGATGTACTGTTACTGGATACTATCGGACGTCCCGGATTACCTGCCTTGTGTATTTTGGGGAGCAAATAGAATCGACCGGGAACAGAATGGGCCGGTAACATTGCTTTTAACATTTTGCCGGTAATTTTCTCGTCCCGGCGGAGATTGTTTAGGGTTACTTTTATCTCCCTTTCAAATTCGGGAGTCGGGTCCGTTGGAAGTTCTTTGTAGAATTTTGTGTCTGATAGCTGTCGTTCCCCTTCCTTTAAGTAGTCCGACATGTTTAGAATTACTATGCAGCCCCCTTTATCAGCCGGTTCGATAGTAATTCCAGTGTTTTTTCGTAGTTCATTGAGTGCCCTTCGTTCTGACTTTGATATGTTGTTTCGAAATGGCCGATTTTTTTCATACGCTCTGATGATATCTTTTTGAACTGCTGATATATACATATCGAGGTGTTTGTCCCTCCCCTATCGGAAAAAACGAATGGTGGGCATGGTGGAAACCACCACCCACCATTATAGTGGATTAATGTAGTGGGTGAATGGTGGGAGACGCCCACCATGGCGCATGGTGGGTATGGTGGGTGCTGCAGTGCCGGCAACACTTGAGCGCGAAATGACGTCAGAATCCCCGTGACGAGCTGCCACAAAAAATAAAAAAGAATTCTATAAAAACGGTATAAAAAACAACCGTCCCGCAAAAAAAAAAAAAAAAACAAGGCGCCACGGAGGATCGAACGTGCAACCTGCGGATTCCCATTCAAAGATGCTAACCACTGCGCCACACCAACATGACGGTGATTGCATGTTAAATACTTAGTTGCAATAGAAACTTAAGGTTTAACTTGGTTATGTTTGTCGTGTACACAACATAGACAAGATCTACACCTGCTACTAAATATTGCACATTTATTAAACACAAGCAACTGCGGCCTGTAATGATTGCCACTATGTTAATGACACTAGTGCTATTTTTTGCAATTCACAACTTCAAGAAAAAAAAAACCAAGTTGACTGGGGAGCAGCGACAGTTTACCGGCGGGGTCTGCCAAGTTTAATATCCGTTTCGCGCTCGTTCTAAAGGGCGACATCTGTTCACGCTTTATGACGCTTCTAGGCTCATTCCATAGATACGCCCGCCTAATTTATTTGATAGAGTATTGGGATGCTTTTCGCACAATGTAGAGGGCGGTCGCGCCAGCGCAATGCTGTAGCTCTTTCGCTAAAGCAACAACTACATAACGGCTTGGTCAAAACGAATGCAGTGTGCCGAAAACATTACGCTATCATACCGGTTCACCAAGCACACGAATTGCCACGTCTGAGTTCTCGTACAAAAGCTAGAGAAGTGCCGGCGAGTGTGACCGGCGGCTGTCGGTGAGAAGACACTTAATTACGTTCTCCGGGAGTGCTTTAATCGGGTCGCATCGATGTTTGTTGCTTCTTGAGCGGACACCATACACAATGAAAAATGCTTCATTTAGGTTAATTGATGCCATATGGCAGCGCTGTCATACTTAATCGTCGTAATCATGTATTCTCAAACCCGGAAGCACGGATAACACAATTGTACGGGCTTGGTCAGTAGGCCTAACCTTTGGTGGAAATCATGGTGGTAGAACATGTAGTGTACAGATCCCAGCTTTGTACACTATATAAATTGCACGCCATTATAAGCCCACCCATCATCTGCTTACTGCTTCCCAGCATTATCGCGATGGTGGGCAGAGCTTCTCAGCTTGGTACACCATGTGGCCCACCATAACAAGCAGCACCCATCATCTGCATAGTG